TGGCCAAGGGGGTATGTGAGCAGGGATGATTCCTATGGCTGGATAGCTCCTCACGCCATGCCTCAGTTTCTCCATCTGCAAAAACAGGTCTGGAAACACTCAGATTTGCCCGAGGCAGGTCTGGGGATGCTGAGGGCATGTTCCCAGGGCGTGTCCAAGACACAGGCTCCCCCGCTTTGGTGGCCCTTTGCCTTCCCACCTCCAGCTTCCTGCAGCACTGGACCCTGCCCCATCTTCCCACCCTCAGACAGAGGTGCCAGCCTGGAAGCACCTACCCTGCTGCCCTTGGGGATGCTGATGAGCTCATCCAGGTAGGTCTGGTCCTGAGTGCCAGGATGCTTCCTGCCAGTGCTGTAACTCTGCACTTGGCCATGGTTCAGGGACCCAGTGAGGCCTGGTAGGGCAAGGAAAAGGAGGAGGAGAGTTGGCAGCCTGACAGGGAGACAAGGACATTGGTGGACTGGCAGCTCTGGCACTAGCTTCCTCCAGTCCCACCTGACCCTGCTTGGTGAGCCCCCTGAGGTACAAGCACCATTTTTCCAAGGGGGCCATGAGGGTGGTTATGTGGGATCTGTCAGTGGCTACCCAAAAGGGTCAGATGCCACCTCTAGCTCAGGTGTCCCTAAATGCTTGCTCCCAGCCCAGTCTTCACCAGTCCAAGAACCAAGTGTGTTTCTGGGCAGGAGAGGATCCTGCTCAGGGTCCTGCTGTTGGGTGGGCATGGAATGGGAACAAGAGGCTTGTACTGGTCCTAATCCCCCCTCCCCAGCCCACCTACATCCTGGGAATGTGGTTGAATCACAGCTGGACTTGGGGGAACAGAGGATGGGGCAGAGGGGGAATCCAGGACAGGCTTGGGGGGACAGTGCCCACTGGGGGATGGAGCAGAACCAGGGGTCCTGGGGCAGAGGGAAGGGGGTCTAGGGGAGGAAAGGACGCAAGGACCTAGGAAGGAAAGGACGCTAGAGAGGAAAGGGGACCCAAGTGTTGTGAGGCTCACCTGGTTCCAGCAATGCCATAGCCGGGGCCGGTCCAGACGTGCTGCTGGGGCACCCTAATCTTAACACTGGGTGCAATGCTTGCCGCCCAGCTTTTAAAGGACCCTCCCAACTGCCCCCCCGAGGAGGAGAGGAGGAGGATAGGAGAAGGAAGTGTTCCTTCCCTACCCGCTGACCTGGGTAGGGAAAGGGCCCCTGGCTGTTGGGGGCTGGGTGCTATGAATGTGCACAGTCTCGGTTCTCACCCTGTGCCAAGAGGCCCCTTTGATCCTTTTTGCCACGCACACACACGTGCATGCACAAGGCACCCACACCAGGAGCGTGGGAACATTGATGGCGTGTCACCCTCCATCACATGCCAGGGCTTCTGCTCCTTGGGGGGTTGGGGGAACAGGGGACAGTTTCCCACAGAGTGGGAAGGGAGGGCTGGCCACAGGGGAGTAGGGGAAATGCCATAGGAGTGGGAACAAGGAGGAAGCAGGCATGTGTTGCACAAGCAGATCAAAATGCACCCTCAGCTGCTGGGGGAAGCACCCAGCTCTGCGGTACAGGATGCTTACATCACCCTTGAGTGCAGGGACCTTCACTCCAAAGATGGGGTGCCAGTGTTGCTGCACTGTCAAGCTGTGCCAGCAAAAATGGGGACCTCATCCCCAGGACCCTTGTGGCTGAGGAGGTGGAAGGGGAAGCACCTCAGGTGCTCCCATGGGTACCTGGTTAGTTCCAGCTGCTTCTCTGGGGCACCCATCTTCCATCTAGGCTGTGCCCCACAGAGAGGTGGGCAAGGAGTCTACACATAGGGAAGTGGTGGGCATGGGGATGTGAGCCTGGCCCTGCTCCAGGATACGCCCCAGGCAACCCCCACCCTAAGCCCTAAGGGCTAGAACAGCTGAGAAGGGGGCAGGGTCCCACCCAGATGGCATGGTGGGGCTTTAGCACACAACTCGGCACCACCTGCTCTCCCTGACCCTCAGTTTCCCCAAAGCAAATGAGACTGCAACAGGCAGTATTGGCAGCTTTATTCCCCGTTAGCTGGAGGGTGGTCAGGTGGGGAGCTGGGGAGAGAGCTGGCAGACCCAGTGGAGGCAAAGGGGGTATCGATGGGCCGCTGGTGGGCGAAGAATTCTGCGGCAAAGGAAAGGGGGTCATGGGGCTGCCGGAGCAGCAAGGCCTGAAGGAAGTCAGACAGCAGTGCCCGGACCTCAGGGTGCTGCTGGAGGTAGGCAGCATGGGATAGTTGCAGCTCCTCCTGCAGCAAGATGGGTGTGGTGGGCATGGACACGCATATCCCCCCGGACACTGTGCCAGGGTGAGTGGGATAGGGTGCCTGGGTCCTTTCCCACACATAAGAAGGTGTGAGGGAAGATACTGGCCAGTCTGCTCCCCACAGTGTGCCCCCTGGGCACACCCAGGGAGACCCTGCTGGGGACTGTCCACCCATCTCACCTTCCTGTCCAGGAACCAGGAGCAGAGCTGGATGTCCTCCTCCCAGTTCAGGGGCTCTTTGGGGAAGGGGAGCTGGAGCTCAAACCCACCTGGCAGCAGAAAGGCAGAGCAGAGTGTTCCCCACTCAGCTGCCACACAGTGGGCAGGGGCTGCCCGTGCTGGAGGGCACAAATCTCCCTGCCCCAGTACCTGACTTGCTGAGGATGGACTCATCCTGCAGAAGCATCAGCGTCGGGGAGCCAACCTGCATCATCCGAACCAAATGTCTGTAGAGGGGAGAGCCCATGAAGTCCCCATGCTGGGTCCCTGCCAGACTGGCAAGGCTGAGGGTGCCCCCAGTCAGACCCTCATGCTTACCCATTAGGGAGGAAGCTGCTCCGCCAGACAGTGGAGACGCCTGTGCTGGTGTGCATGGCTCGCTCCATCACAAACACCTCCGTCTCTGCAGAGCCCACTGCCTGACGCTGGATGCCCAGGGCAGACTGGGAGGGGCACAGCCAGAGGTCATCCTTGTCTTAGAGTTCCCCCTGCCTCCAGGTGCCATCCCTGTGCCTCTCCTCCCCATGCTGTCAACCACATTCTGCCCACTCCCATGTCCCACATCCCGCCCTGGCACTCCCAACCTGAGCCAGACCTCCCAACCCCACAAGTCCCCTTGGCTGTGGCTCACGTAGCTGGAGGTGCAGAGGCGGCCCTCGGTGTCGATGGCTGGGAAGACGAGGCCGGGGGGCACTGTGTGCCGGCGTGCCAGCACCCGCAGCAGCAGGAGGCTGGCACCCTCCAGCAGCAGCCCCCGCAGCTCAGCCTGGCTGTAGGAGAAGCTCTGGCACTGTGGCTCTGCCTGTGGAGAGACCTGGCCACCTCATGGGAAAGCCACAGCCCCAGTGATGCCAGGGACAGCAACCCCCAGAGCCTGGGGCACCCCTGGTGAGACAGGCCAGCTGTGCTGAGACAGGCCAGCTGTCCTCCCCCCTCCCAAGATGTGACCCAGGTGGGGGGCAGACTGCAGAGATCTCCTGCCCTCAACCTCACCTCTCCCTCCTGGAGGGTCTTTGTGACAGTCATCCCATGCTGATGGCTCACCATGTGGGTGCTCTTTTCTGTGGGGTGTGGTCTGAGCTGTGGGAGGGGTGGAGGGTAGAGCCAGGGCACCCCTTTCTCTAAGGTGGCACACCCCAGCATGTGGTACCCTGATTTCAGTCAGGGTACCACATCAGAAGCATTGTGGGAAACTCCCTGCCCCAACCTCCACCCAGATCAGGGAATGGGGACCAGGCTGGTGCGACAGAGCTGGAGTCTGAGCGTGGGAGGGGACGCCAGACTGCCCACAGTGGCCTTGCATGAGGCATATCCCCAGAGGGCACCACTGCAGGGCACATCCCAGGGCAGAGGGCAGGCCATGGGGAAAGGGACATGCCACCACCACCACCACATCAGTCACCTCCAAGCACTCCTGCTCCTCCTGCTCCAGGGTCTCCAGCTGTGGGGTCACATAGGCTGGCAAAGCAAAGCCATGCTCAGCCAATGCTGCTAGCACTGTCCCATTCCTAGCCCTGGGGGCTGGTGAGACAGGGATGCTCCAGTGCTGAGGTGGGGGGGACACCCAAAGCCATCCCTAGCTCACCTTTGAGGGTGCTGGAGCCAGGCACACCATCCTGCAAGCCTCGGAACCTGGCTTGCACCAGGATGCAGTTCCGCACTGGCTCACCTTCCCGCTTATAGGGTGCCCACTGGGCTGCCAACCACCACTGGCCCTCTGCCTTGTCCCTTGGCGGGTCCCCCACGCCCACCACCACCAGCGTCTCGGCGAACAGGCAGTGCTCCAGCTCCTTCATCCCTGCACGGAGGGACAGTCATCCCTGCCCAGAGGAATGGTCACCCCTTCCCCGAGTGACCATCACCCCTGCCCAGGGTCTCTCCCTGCCTCAGTTCCACACGCCCCCCCCGGCAGGCTGGGCCGAGCCCCTCACCCTTTATCCTCCTCAAGTCCCCACTATCCATCACTCTCCTGCCGGACGCAGTGCCCTCCACCCCCCGCACCGACGACCCCCAGGGCACGGCGTGTGGGGGAACAAAGGGGAGGCTGGAGGGGGCACTCACCGAGGAGGCTCAGGAATTCGGCAGCCGTGTCCGTGAGAGCCGGGTTCTCCTGCCCGCTCTCCATGCCTCGCCTGGGGGCTCCTACTGCCGGACGCTCAGGTGAGGCGGCGGCGTGGCCCCCCCGAACCGCGGTACCCGTCCACGCTTGACCCCGGAGGGAGCAGAGCAGCCCCCGGCCCCTGTCACCCCCCGCCCGCCCCCCCGACACCCCCGACCCGCCGGGCCGGCCCCGGGCCCCACGACGCCTCACCGTCTCCAAGGCAACGGCCTGGCCCCACCTCTTAAAGGGGCCGCGCCCCCGCGGCGGGGTGTCCTGCGGAGGGGCCCCACCAACGCGGAGAGAAAGGGACGAACAGGTATAAAATCGATCCAGTCTTTTATTTGGGGGTGTGGAGGGTGTGTGTGTGTGTGTGTGTGTGTGTGTGTGTGTGTGTGTGTGTGTGTGTGTGCGTGTCCGTCCCGCACAGCAGCACCCCCTACCCCACAGCAGTGTGACCCCATGGCCTTGTCCTAGTTTTGTGTGTGTGTGTGCATGTGCAGGGGGGGCTCCAGCGTCAAGGATGGGGTGCTGGAGAGGAGCCCCTTGCCTGGAGGTAGTACTGCCCCCCGCCTACCCTTGCCCCCTTACCATCACAGTCTCCAAAGGAGATGCACAGCACTGGGGGCTGCCAGGGTAAGGGGAAGGGAGCCAAGTGGTAGTGGTGGTGGTGGTGAAATTGGAGACTCCCAGAAAAACGGGGAGGGGGGAGGGGGGATAGGAAAAGCCCTTGGTGCCATCACTATAGCCCTAGCAGTGGGGCAGGGGGCTACAGACCCCCAGAAAGGGGATTGAGGTGCTTCTACATGACAGCTGGTGACCCCCAGGTCTAGGGGAGCAAAGGGAGGGATCACTTATGGGGTGCCCACGTAAAGGGGTATCCACTCTTCCCCCCCAACCATGCACCCCAGGAGGGAGATTCACAGCAAAATAAAACACACAGAGCCTTGGGCCCCTTTTGCCCAAATATCACCCGGCTCCATGGAAAGGGGGGGCTCCTGGGAGGGGAGATCTAGGTGGCTTGGTAGAGGTCCTTGCGCCTCCGCACCTCCTTGAGGACGCGGGCGCGGAAGGCGTCGGGGTCCTCTCCCCCATCCTGCCACAGTCCCAGTGCCTCCTGCAGCTCTGGCCGGTGTGTCCGCAGGAAAGGGTTGTAGGTCTGCTCTTCCCCCAGTGTGGAGGGGCACTGTGGGGGGCAGCCATTCAGCTCCCCTGACAGAGGCAGCACCCCCGTCGGGGAGCTGGAACCCCTCCAGAACCCCCTTCCCTTACGGAACCTGCCATGCAAGAGGATCTTGGCGTGCAGCATCCCTGCCAAGGGATGGGGATCCCTGTGAGGGGCTGGGGTGGTGGGTGCTGTAGCCAAGGGACCCCCATGCCTCACCGTGCTCCTCTTGTCCTGGCGCTGCTGCACTGCCCACTGCAGCTTCTGCTCCAGCGCAGAATTGTCCAGTTCCAGGAGGCTGGCGAAACTCAGGCACTCCAGTGCATACTCATGGCCTGTGGACCCCCGTACGCAACCCTCAGCATCACCCCCGCACAGCCCCGCAGCTTGGCAGAGGGGACTAGGGGGGACACCAGTGACTCTGCCCCGCTGTGGGGGACACTCACCCGGCCACAGCAGTGTGTCCTCACCCAAGCCCATGGCCACGTCCAGGGAGGCGAGCATCGTCTCGGGGGAGCCCTCAAATGGCCTGCCTGGACCCCCACACAACTGCCTGTCATGGGGGGGCATTGGGAGATACCCCCAAGTCTCTCCCAGGGTGGAATAACCCCCCAACACCCAGGTTGGGTGCACTCACCGCAGCCAGCGAGGAAGAGGAGGTCCCCGGAGAAGAGGCAGGGGGGGCTGCCAAAGGGCTCCCCGTCCAGTACGTACACCATGTGGCCCACAGTGTGGCCAGGTGTGGCGAGCGCCTCAAAGGTCAGGCAGCCCACACTCACCTTCTCCCTGTCCGCAAGTGGGCTGTGCCAGGCACAGAGGGCACTGTCAGGGTGCTCCCCGCACCCCCAGCACCTCAAAATACCCAGCTCCCCAGGCAACCCTTTCCCATGCACTGGTGTCATGAACATGCCAGGTCTCTGCCCACGATGGGGGCAACATGGTACTTGGGGGATGGAGTGATGGGTGAGTGCGCAGACAGTGGTGGTTGGGAGTGAAGCCTCCCCCACCCCCAAATCGACAGGGCTGCCAGGGGGGCTCAGGACTTACTTGGTGAGCTGTGGGATGGCATCGAGAGCGCTGCCGTACACTTTACAGGAGTTGTGCTTCTGGCAGAGTGCTGCATTCCCCCCACTGTGGTCCCTGCAGACAGGATGGTCAGCAGCCCTAAATGTGCCCCCCACTATATCCCTCCCCAAATGGGGCAGGGCCGGGGGCCATCAGATGGGGCACCCTCCACGGCATCCACTGACTCACCCCCATGTCCCCCCTTGCCCCTTACCAGTGTTTGTGTGTGCAGAATATGGCCTCCAGCATCACCCCCTCTTCTTCAATGGCAGCCTGGGAATGGGGAGGAAACACAGAGAGATTTGGGGGGGAACACAGAACCTAAGTATCAGTATCCCCCTAAGTTCAGTCCCCCCAAGGCGTTGGATGAGCACTGCCACGCTTCAACCTTGCCTTGGGCAGATTTGCCCCCCTCTGCCCTCAGAGTCATGCCAGCCCTTTACCTGGAGACACCCAAAGACCACATATGGGTGGTTTTGGGGGTCTCACCTGCACAGCCAGCGGGTCAGAGGGGTCGACAACGGCTGCTCGGCTGGAGCCAGTGTCGATGACCAGGTAGCTGTAGTTGTTGGAGAGCACGGGAATGGGCAGGATTTTCACTCCTGGCAGGGACAGACAGACAGACATCAGGGCATGACCCCCTGGGCTGGAAAAGCAGAGGTCCAGGCCAGACTGCAACATCTTACATGAAATTATTAGTTAAGTATGCTTTGAGCAATTTGGTGATGGCAACCCCTCCCCACCCCAGAGTGCCAGTGTTGGGGGACGCTGTGGGGCCACAGTGTGTGGGTGGCTCGCCAGGACTCACCAGGGAAGCAGCAGGGCTGAGGCACGGAATGGCCATGGGGGTACCGCTCCCGGGCCTTCTTCACCTGCCGCTGGTAGAAGAGGTAGCCCAGGCGTGTGCGGGCGTAGAGGTTGTACCTAGGGAGGGCAGACACCCCTCGACGTTAACCCCCAAACCCCCTAAGGAGCCCGCGTGGGGACTGGGCTGGGACTCCCACAGGAGACACATACAGGGTCATTTTCTCATGCATGGGGACTGGAGGTGGCATGTGTGTATCCCACGCCCTGGCTCTGCAGCAAGGGCATGACTAGTTTCCCAGCCAGGTCCCCTCCAGCTGCTTCAGGCAGCAAGGATGGGGAGGGGCGGCATCGCTGTGGGAATGTCCATCTGTGCGACCATCTGTCCAGGAGGGCTCTGCTCACCAGGAGGGGCTGGAGCCCCAGGGCAGATCAGCACTCTGGCTGCCCCTCCCCCTGCTCCGGAGTGGCCATGCCCAAGCCTGTCCTGGTCCCGGGGATGAGGGAAGAGGGAATGGGGCCAGGGAAAAGGGAAGAGAGAAATGCCCCGTGCACGTGAGGGTACAACAGACAAAGGCTGGGGGCTCGGAGGGAACTCCCCATTTATACAGCAGTGATTTGGGATGGGACGGGGAATGGTGCCATGACGGACGTGTTAAGTCCCGGGTTGCAAAGCCCATTCCCAGCCAAGGGAACCCCTGGATGGTGACATCCACCATCAGGGACACCGGGAAGGATCCCGGCAGGAGCCGGGAGTCCCCCACTTTTGTGGCGGTGGGAACCCGAAGCAGGGGAACGAGGGCTTCTGCCAGCACCGGATAGCCCGGCCACGGGGCACCGGGATGGGTCAGCGATGACACCCGGGGAAGGCTGGCCCCAGGGGACAGTGACAGATCCGGGGGTGACCGGCACCGCGCGGGGAGAGCCGGCGGCTGATCCCCGACCCCGCAGCCGGGCTGACAGCTCCCGCCCTCGCCCCCCACCGACCCGGGCGGGCTGAGTACGGATGGGCGGCTGTGCCCCCGCCAGCTCCAGCCCCGGCCCGGCCTCCCCAAGTCAGCGGGGCCGCAGGTCCCTCGGCGGGCGGCTCCGCACAGGCAGGGGAGGACGGGCCCTCCCTCCCGGCGGCAGCACAAAGGCGGGCGGCGGTGGCCCCCTCCCGGCGGCGAGTGCCGAGCGGCGGGCGCTCCACTCGCTCGCTCCCTCCCTCACTCACCCCAGGCGGAACAGCAGCGGGGCGGCGAAGGCCATGAGCGCGGCGGCGGCGCGGCGGGCGCGGCGGAGGAGGCGCAGGCAGGCGGCCCCGATCCCCCGCGCCCCGGCAGCCGCCGCCGCCGCCGCCCCGCCGGGCCCCGCGGCCATGCCGCTACCGGCGTCACGCGCCCGCCGCGCCCCCTGCCGGCCCCGCCGCGGGAACCGGGACACACACGCGGGACACACCGACCGCGTCACCGGCCACAGGAGGGGATTCCATCCCCCCTCGCCGCCACCGAAAGGGGGGCCCCCCCCGCTGACGTCACGGTGTGAGGAAGGGGGACTCTGAGTGACGTCAGAGGCGGCGGGAAGGAGGTCCCGTCCCGGGGTGGGGAGGGCGAGGGCCGGTGGAGCCCGTCCCGCGGTGCAACAGGCGGGGGAGCGCGGGAGCACACCCCGCTCCCGGTCACGGGGCGCAGGGCGCGGAGCCGCCGCGGGGGGGCGCGGAGGGCGGTGCCCGCCCCCGCCCCGTCCGCCCGCCCCGTCCGGCCCGTCCCGGATCGTCCCGGCTGGTCGCGGCGCAGCCCGGCGGAGCAGCGCGCAGCAGGTAGGGCAGCCTGGCCCGCCGCGCCCCGCGCCCCCCGAGCCGCGCGTGGGGCCCCTGGCGGTCCCCCCTCGTTCTCCTGACTCCCCGCCGCTCGGTTCGCTCCCACACCCCCCTGTCCCTGCGCCCTCCGGTGCCACGGCCGGCGAGGAGCCCTTCTACCGCTCTCCCGACCGTCCCGGAGGTCGGCGGGGACCGGGCGAGAGTGGGCGGGCGGTCACCAAACAGCGGGGACGCGCTGCAACCCCCGCACCCCTGTCCTCGGTGGGTGGGGGCACGTCCCGTGGAGGTCCAGCGGCGGGGGGACCGGGTCGGAGGGCGTTCCCGCGAGAGGGGACGGCTGCGAGACAGGACCCCCACGCGCAGCGTCACTCTGTGGCGCTGATGCTGTTTTTCGGACTGGCAGGGACTCAGGGTAGTCCGTGGGGGGGACACCGACTCTTGTTCCGTGGAGGGTGTCCCCACGGACCCGGTGGGGTGTGTCGGGAGAGGAAGGCGAGGTTTTGTGCCTGGCAGGGTGTGGGGTGGCGCCGAAAGTGGTGTGTGGGGACAGCGCTGGGTGGTGTGGGGGTACCTGGGCTGGGGTACAGGAGGGCACCCCTGTCCCATGCCCTGTCCTCCGGGAGGGGGCTCGCAGGGGGGCAGAGATGCAGTGGCGGCGAGGCTGAGCTCCAGCAAACTTCTGTGCTGTGTGAGTGACATGGGGCAGTGGGAACATCTGGCCTGGGTGGGCAATACTGACCTGCTCGCGTGAGCTGAGCTGGGCTGTGCTGGGCTAGACCAGGACAAGTTCTGGTGTGCTATGTTGGGTTGTGCTGCGCTGAGCCGTGCCACGCTGCACGCAGCAGCTGTGCTTTGTTGTGCCGTGCCAGGCTGTGCCATGCCAGGCTGTGCCGTGCCATGCCAGGCTGTGCCGTGCCATGCCAGGCTGTGCCGTGCCAAGCCATGCCATTCTGGTGGGGGCTTCCAGGCTCTTCTAGAGTAAGGTAGTTTCTCAGGCAGCCTCAGTGTGGGGAGCCCTGGCTCCCACCCAAAACCATGGTCCCCTCCCAAAGTGACCCTTGTTGCCCCAGGAAACCTGTGGAGCTGGTGGTGGGAGTCTGAGCCCAGCAGGCATGCCAGGGGCAGTGGTGGGGACACTAACTGGTACCACCTGCAGGGCTGTGACAAGAGGTGATGGTTGCCTGTGCCCCATATCCCTGCCACATGAGCCTTATCTGTGCTGAGTCACGGTGCCAGTGCAGAGCAGCACCCTGTCCCTAGGACTGCGTGTCACAGCAGGGTCACCGAGTCGTCCCATGTGGCCTTTCGGTGGCCTGTGGTATCGGGCCCCTGATGGGCCATGAACTGAGGAGGGTTCAGAGTGCTGCCTGCTTCCCTGGGTGCGGTGGCCACAGGGACCCGTCAGGCTGGTTCCTTCCCTGTGCCCAAGGCCACCCCAATGGGGTGGGAACAGGAGGGGCTGAGGCAGTCAGTGGACCTCTGCCACAGGGTGCTGGCCACGGGCACAGGGTAGGACCCCTCCAGTGACCACCTGCTGGCCGAATACACCCCACTTTCCCCAGACACCTGGGTTCCCTTCTGGGGATTCTGGTCCCCCTGTAACTGAGTGCCAGTCATGGGGGCTTTCCTGGGGTCAAACTCCTATTTTGGGCTGTTCCCTGGCCCCAGAGGTGAGGTGGTGCTGTGGGACACCCTGTGCTTTTTTAGGAAACTACAGGGAAGTGGAGAAGTGAACTTCCTGTTTGGGTGGTCACTGCCACGCGGGTTATTTATTTTCAGCGCTGTTGTCATCATGATGGTGAAGGGTGGTGTGACCAGGGCAGTTCTGCCAGGGCCAGGACAGACAGATTGCAGGGGGGATGGAGGGACAGACACTGAACTGCTCACTAGTCCCCCTGTCCTGGCATGGCTGGCATGGGTGTGCCCCCCCCCCGGCACTGCTGCCTGTCCAGCCCGGCTGTGGGAAACACTGGCGTCACACAGGAGGAAGTGCCTGATCCCCTCCCAGACTCGTCCTGGTTGGGAACAGATCCTAGTTCCTTCCTTGAGATGGTCCCAAGATCACGTCACCGTTGCAGGCAGGGGGGATGTGGTGAGTTCTGGCACCTGCCTGGGGTCTGGGGTGCCAGCACTCTGGGGGTGGCAGGTGGGTAAAGGCCTGGCACTGTCTTCTGGCAGCACTGTTGTTTTCCTGGCCTTGAAGATCCTGCTTTCCTTCTCCTCCTCCTGCTGGGGCCAAGCCCAGCAGCTGGCCCTGAGCCCGGGCTGCTTGCTCACAGCTGCCGGAGGCTCTGTGAGGGGGCCTGGTGCAGCCGGGTAAGGGAGCTAAGTCCTGGTGGGATCACAACTCCCCTTGCCAAGGAAGAGTCCATCTTCTGCAGAGGTCATGCTTATGTCACTTGTCCTTATATTTGTCACTTGTCCCCTCCCTGAGGGGACTCAGGAGTTCTGGAGCCTCTGTGTGACCCACTGGGCTGTTGGGTGGGGGACACCCCTGAAATGGGGGGGGCAGTGGGGGTCTGCATGGCTGTGATGAAGATCAGGCCCTGTGTTTCCATCTCAGGCAGTGGATAGAGTGATGCCATTTGTCCCCTGGCTGGTGCTACTAGGGCATGCGGGGGAGGGTGTTTCCTGCCCCCCAGCAATGGCAAGGTGGGCTTCAAAAGCTGGAGAAGTAAAATCCCTTTTGGAAAGGTCACGTCCCTGACACAGCTTGAGTCAGCGCGTGGCGGTGCCCTGCCTGTGGCTGACAATGACGCAGGCACCGGGGACTCAGGGCTCAGGAATGTGAGTGGCCCCAGCCAAGGGGCAGTGGGGACATCCCTCACCTCTCATTGACCCACTGGCATCGAGGCCAACTTGTTGTCATTAATTAGGACCCACTATTAAAGTGGGAGGGGGAGGTTTTGTGGCTGCACAGTCCCCTGTGTCCCTGCACCTGTGGTTCCATTCACCAAGAGCACGTCCTGCCTGGAGAGGGGGACCTGTACTGACACCCCCCTCTTCTTTCCCCTCCAGGTGCCTGTGGGAGACGCAGGGAGCCGGCATGTCCCAGCCCAGTGCACCACCGCCTTACGATGACAAGAACCCCCTCTACCCCCCGCCCCCAGGGGGGTACCCCCAGCCCCATCACTACCCTGGGGGGTACCCACAGCCAGGGGGATATCCTCCAGCGGCAGGGTACGGGCAGCCAGGGGGTTACCCAGCAGCAGGGGGATACTCTCATCCGGGGATGTCCATGCCCACCATGCCTATTCGCTTCGGTAAGTGGCAGCACCTTGTTTTTTTGGGGGGGAGTGCACTAGAAACAGGAGTGCTGTGAGGGGCTGCGCAGCTGAACCTGGTGCTGAGGAGTGTCCACCACCACAGGTGACAATGGCATTGGGGATGGCTCCCCCTTCCAATCAGTCGATTGGGACGACAGGAAAGTCCGGCACACCTTCATCCGCAAGGTGAGTCCAGAGGGACTGGGGGCACCTGTCAGCGTGGGGCAGCACCTGTTGGGGCAGGGGTCCAGATGCTGATCCCTCTGTCTCTTGCAGGTCTATGCCATCATCTCCCTGCAGCTGTTGGTGACAGTAGGGATCATCTCTGTGTTCACCTTTGTGTGAGTGGAGGGTTCCTCCTTAGCCTTGTCCTGGAAAGAGGGGAGCCCGACCCTGTGTCCCTTGGGGGGTGTTCCAAGGGAACAGTAGTTGCTGTACCCCCTCCCTCATGCTTGTCCCTCCTGTCCCACAGCCACCCTGTCCGCTCCTTCGTCCAGAGGAATGTTGCCATCTACTACGCCTCATAGTGAGTAGGGGGTCTGCTGGCTTGTGCTCCCCGAGCTCGTGCCCCTCACATTTGCAGCCTCCCAGCCTGGGGGCTGGTTCTGGTGGGAGATTGCAGGGTTGACACCTGCTGTCTCTCTTTGAAGTGCCGTGTTCCTGGTGACCTACCTGGTGCTGGTTTGCTGCCAGGGTCCTCGGTGAGTCTCTGGGACCCACAGGGTGCGGTGTGTGGGTATGGTAGGGGTGTCTCTAGAGCATTAAGATTGGGGTTCTTGCCTGGGGCTGCCCCTTGGGGACTGGGGACCAGGGGAACATGATGTAGCCCCTATCACCAGCTCCCCTCTCTCGTTTTCTCCTCAGGAGACGCTTTCCATGGAATATCATCCTGCTGAGCATCTTTGTGAGTGGGCTGGGACTGGTGGAGGGTCCTGGTGGTGCCCCCATGGCACAGCAGCTCCCTGGGCAGGCTGGGAGGGATAGGTGGATGTGTGGGCATGTGAGGGCAGCCAGGAACTGCTGCCCCCCATGGTGCCACACAGCCTGCTGAGCCCACCCTTCTCCTCCACAGACGCTGGCCATGGGGCTGATGACAGGGACCATTGCCAGGTACGGCCCGGGGACACTGTGGTGACAGGAGCTGGTGTCCCTCCTGTCCTTCCCAGTGCAACTGGCTCAAGTGAGGAGCTGTCAGGAGCCAGGGGACACTTCAGGCACTTGGGCTCAGGGACAGGGGGGTTCTTGTCCAGGATCGGGGCTGTGTGGGGGGTCACCAACACCCCGCTGGGCAGGGGGATGCTGAAGCATGAGGTGACTGTGGTGTCTCCTCCATCCACAGCATGTACAAGACCAATGCTGTCCTGATTGCCATGCTCATCACTGCCATTGTGGCCATCATTGTCACCATCTTCTGCTTCCAGACCAAGGCAAGGAGAGATGCCCTGCTCTGCCCTGCCCTGGGGAGGGAGCCCGTCAGTGGGGACACTCTGGGATCTCCTGTTACATATGTGTGTGTCCCCCCATCAGGTTGATTTCACATCGTGTCCGGGGCTGTTCTGTGTGCTGGGCATCGTGCTCATGGTGACTGGGATCATCACTGCCATCGTCCTCTCCTTCAAATATGTGAGTAGGGGGGGACAGAGGGGCTGTGGGGTGTCATGGGTGTTCCTGGTCAGGTACCCCCAGGGCTGGTACAGGCACAGGGTTTGGGTGGTCCCCCTTTGCTGAGAAGCAGGGTGTGGTGCCGGCTGCAAAAGGCAGCTTGCCCGCAGGGAGGGGTGCGTCGGCAGCAGCAGCAGCATCTTGGGAGCTGGGTGCGGGCAGGACCTGCCCTGCCTTGCCTGCTGCCTGCCAGCACCTCGGCTCACCCTGCCTTTGTCCCCTTCCTGTGCAGGTGCCCTGGCTCCACATGCTGTATGCGGCCATCGGGGCCATCGCGTTCACACTGGTGAGTTCACGGCTGGGGTGGGCAGAGGGTGTCGGGTAGGGACTGGGGAGGGAGGAATCCCCCCTTTGTCCCTGCCTGACACCCTCTGCCCCCCCAGTTCCTCGCCTATGACACCCAACTCGTGCTGGGGAACAGGAAGAACACACTGAGCCCTGAGGAGTACATCTATGGTGCCCTCACCATCTACACCGACATCATCTACATCTTCACCTTCCTCCTGCAGATAGTGGGCCGGGATTAGCCCTGGCACCCGTCCTGTCCTCCCCTGCTGCCCCTCACCCCCTCCTGTGGTCTCTGTACAGGATAGTCCACTTACTGTGACTCCTAACGCTTTGGCATTCCTACCTGTAGGCTGCTAAGGAAAGGGCTTCCCTTGATCATCCCCCAGCAAGCCTCCAGGGCAGTGTGGGGAACTAGCTGCCAGTGTTTAGGCAGTGCCCAGCCTTGGCACCGCTTACCGAGGCTGTGCCGATGGCGTTGGGTTGGCAGTGGGATGCCAGAGCCCTGCCTGGGCACTGGGAGCTGGCAGCAGCTGCTGGGATCGTGTTGGGATTTTTTGGCAGAGTCTGGTTGGCGTCATTCACTCGGTGCCTTAAATGCGGTTCCGGCCATGCCCCCCTCTCCCTGAGCTGCGGCTGTGCCCGGCGTGGGCGGGGGGCAGCTGGGACCCCCGTGGCAGAGCTCATATTGCAGAGGCCCTGCAGCCACGGATGTGAGCGAAGTTGCACTTGCTAAATAAAAACACTTCAGTTTTCCAGATGGTGACAATCTTGTTGGTGCGGCAACTCCCCCCAAAAAAACCTGTGGGCAGCCTCTGTGGGGGCTGCGGCCTGGTGCAGCACAAACACTGCTGTGTGGGGTGGAAAAACCAAGGTCAAACTGCTCCAGTCCTGGCCTCCCTTGCCTGCCTGTAACCTCTGCCTTGTGGGCAGAAGCCTGGGGCTGAAGAGTGAGGGAGCAACCACAGATGCACTGAGCTCTTCCACTTTATTTGTCCCTATCCAGCTCCATGACCACTCCGTGGACTGGACAGGAAGCACAGGTGCCAGCATGGGGCTGGTGTCCCTTGGCCAGTCCCTTCAAGGTGCCACAGTGCCAGCCTGGGGATGTGGGGAAGCCTGGCTATGCCCCCCTGGCTACCCTCTTGTATCTCTCTGTCTCATACTCGCCCTGGTTGGCTTGCATCATCTTTTGGCGGGTTTTGAGCTGCTCCAGACGGTTTTTGTCCACTTGCCGTTTGGCCAGGAGGAAGAGGATTATTCCAGAAGGCAATCCGATAGCCCTGCAGGACAGCCAGTGGTCAGGAGATGGAGAGAGTTGGCAGGGAAACAAGGGTGCTATGCCACTCGAGCTGCACCGACTGTCCCTGCTCAGCACTACAACCCCCCAGGGCCCCCATTCCACTCCAGCCCTGCAGGTCAGTGCAGCCTCCCGGGCCAGCCCTCTCCCACTGCCCAAGCCACTCACCAGGCCACTCCCACCGGTTTCATGGGATTCTTGCCCCTCTTGCGGGTGGGGATGTACTCCACCCCTTCAGGGAGCCCCCTGCTGCCCGGCTCTGGCCCGGCCCGTTGTCCCGCTGGCCGGTGGCAGCTCTGCTTGAGAAGCCAAGTGTCCGGGGGGCCTGGCCGCCCCCAGGGCCTGGTGGGACCCAGGGGAGGTCTTGCTGCCAGCAGCCCTGCGGGAAGAGGCATTAGGGAGGGACAGCGTATGGGAGGCCCAGCCTGGGCTGCCTGAGGCTCCTGCTCTTGCTCTTATCCCCACCCATCCCCATCCCTGTTCCCCTGCCCTTATCCTTATTCTTGCCCATCCCCATCCGCATCCCCATCCCCATGCACATCCCTACCCTCAGCCCCTGCCCTGCCCCTGCCCCCCCGCCAGGGGACGCTCGAAGGCGGTGCCTGAGCTGTGGGGGCGTGGCCAAATATAGGGGGCGTGGCCAATCACACCGGAGGCGTGGCTCTAAGCTCCGTCCTCAGCCGGGCAGAGCCGGGAGCTGTTCGGGGGGCCGTGCAGCGGAGCCCGCGGGCCGTGCGGTGGGGAATGTGGCGGGACAGTCCCGATCTCCCCGCCTCGACCGCTCCCTCCGCCCGCCATCCCTCCCGCCAGCCGTTACCGCGCACTCCACCTCGCGCCGCCGCCATGGTGTGGGTGTGCGGCGGCCGCGCTGCATGCCGGGAGGTGCAGTCCCACCGCTCGGGCGGCGCTGCATGGTTTGTGCGCAAAAAACTACATCTCCCAGAGCGCAACGCGCGGGGCGGGGCTGCCCCGCCCCACTGGCGGAAAGGGCGGGGACCTTGTGCGGGAGCGGGCAGTGGTTGGCCGGGGCCGGAGGGCGGCGGGCGGGGATTGGCCGGGGCGGGGCGCGCGGCGGAAGCGGCGGCGGCGGCGGCAGGCGGGTCGGCATGGAGCCCGCGGAGGGCCCGGGCGCGCTGGGCCTGCACGGCGACGAGGAGATCATCGAGGTGGTGGAGCTGGGCCCGCCCGGGCCGGGTGAGACGGGGCGCCCCGCGCCGCGCATCGGGCAGGGCCTGCTGGGGCTCCGGCCTTTCCCGCCGGGGCACCGGGTGCGCTGTGGCCCCACCCCAGTGCCAGACCCGGCCGGTGCACCCCCCCCCGGCCCGCGGCCTCTCCCCTCATCGCGCCCCGTTCCCTGCGGCTCCCCTGCGTCGGGTCTCCTGGCCGCGGCGGCGTCGCGCATCCCCCCGCTGCCCTGTCCGCGGGGTTCACCCCGCTCCCGCCGTGCCCGCAGCCGCCCCGGGGGGGCCGAGCCCAGCGGGCCGAGAGCCGCGCCCTGACCTTTGCCCTCCGCAGATGACCTGGCCGAGGAGATGGAGGACGTGGACTTTGAGGACGAGGGGGCAGACGAGCCCGATGCCGAGACTTGGGATTCGGAGGATGACGAGGGGGTGGAGGATGGCATGGAGGCGCAGGACGACAGCGAGGTCACGTTCTCCCTCCACTCAGGTGAGTGCTGTGGGCCCCTCAGGACCTACTCCCACCTTGGCTTTCCCCAGAGCCCAGGGGTGCAGATGGCCTTGCCAGGCTGCCAGCCTTCCTGGGACAGCCATCAGGACTCGGAGCTGCCTTGGGCTTGTTCTCTCGCAGAGAAGCTCTTCAGGCCTCCCACCATGGCAGCTGGCCCTGAGCTCAGCAGACAGCCCGTGCCTCTCCTCCCCTATGTGAAGAATTGATTCCCACTGGGCTGGGCTGGGAGTTCAGCTCGCTGACATGGGGTTTGGATTCCCTGGGAGCGTCAGGTGAGGTGGAATTGGCCCCTGAGCAATTTAGCCTGTCTTTACTCTCCTGTGAAGCTTCTGTTTTCTGCGTGAGCCTCGACCCCAAGACTAATACGCTGGCGGTGACCGGTGGGGAGGACGACAAGGCCTTTGTGTGGCGCGTGAGCGATGGGGAGCTGCTGTTCGAGTGCTCAGGTGAGCCCGAGGCTCTGCCAGTGAGAGCTGTGTCCTCTCCCAGCTTGTCTGGGAGCTGTGCTGGGGATGTGGTCCTGACCCCCTTTCATGGCTTGGCCTGAGCAGTCTCTATCCCCTGACATCCCTAGGACACAAGGACTCGGTCACCTGTGCCAGCTTCAGTCACGACTCTGTGTTTGTGGCCACGGGTGACATGTCTGGGCTTATCAAAGTGTGGCGGGTGGATGCCAAGGAGGAAGTGTGGTCCTTCGAGGTGGGGGACCTGGAGGTGAGTGGTGGAAGCCCTGGTGCCATGGGGCGCTCCCAGGCCAGCGATGGGGGGGACACCACCTGTGATGCTGCCTGTCCGTCTCTCTGCCCAGTGGATGGAGTGGCACCCTCAAGCCCATGTCCTTCTGGCGGGCACAGCTGATGGCAACACCTGGATGTGGAAGATTCCCAGTGGGGACTGCAAAACCTTCCAGGGCCCTGCGTGCCCAGCCACATGTGGCAGGATCCTGCCTGATGGTGAGGCATGAGGGCTCTCTGGAGTGGGGAATGTCACCAGCTCTGTAACAGATCCCACTGTCACCATCTGCTCTCCTGCTTCTGCCAGTCTGTGCTGAGTGGGAAGTGGAGGGACTAGGGAGGTTGTGTCCCCACGTGCTGTCTCTGTCTCACCCAGGGAAGCGGGCGGTGGTGGGGTATGAGGATGGGACCATGCGCATCTGGGACCTGAAGCAGGGAACCTCGCTGCATGTCCTTAAAGGTAGGGAAAGGAATATCACCTGGGGTGCTTCCTACCTGGGGAGTGGCCCCTTCCAGTGGGCTCCGACCTCTGCCTGGGTGGAGAGGTGATGTTCTCCAAAGCCACCGGTGGCTGCTCCTTGCTGCTGGCAGGGGCTGCAGGAGGATGTGTTTCGAGGCCCGCTGGGTCTCTGTGGGGATGACACACAGAGCTCATGCCTGCTGCTCACCCCCCAGGCCAGGATGGCCACCAGGACCCCTTGACGTGTGTGGCCAGCAACCAGGATGGCAGTTTGATCATGACGGGCTCTGTGGACTGTCACGCCAAGCTGATCAACTCTGCCACAGGCAAGGTGGGTCTGTGTGGGGGGGCAGAGCCTGGAGCGCTGGGCACCCCCTAAGCCCTCTGGGCTGGGCCGGGCTGGTGCACAGCCATCGGCAGCCGGCAGGAGGCGTCCTGGCGCCGTGGGTGGAGCCGGGACTGGGTGGTCCCTCCGGGCTCCTGGAAGGAAGGAGCTGAGTATTTGGAGCTGGGCGTTGGTCTGCTGGGGATGCAGGCTTGGTCCCGGGTAAGGAGCGGGAACTCTGTGCATCCGTGTCTCCTTCCCTTCCTCTCGGGGACTAGTCAGCTTCCCTCCACACAGGTGGTGTGCGTGTTCAAGATGGAGACCGTGGCCCCCAAGGCACCCATCGGTGAGGGCGAGGAGGCAGAGTCTAACTCGGTGGAGTCGCTGGGCTTCTGTAATGTGTGAGTGTGGGGACAGCCCTTCTTCAGTGCTAGATCTTACAGGGGTTGTTACAGACAGATCCATTTGCATCCCCTGTGCTTGTTCTGCCGCATTTCTCTTGCCTCTGTCCTCCCTGGCTGAATGAGGAGATCCTGGATTACTTAGATGTGAGGACAAGGGACAGCGGCTGATCAGTCCTCCGGGCAACTGTTGGGTTTCTGGGCTAGCCTGATGGACCACTGTGGGGCTGGGATACCCTCCAGACATGAATGTTTTCATGCCAGGACATTTTCTTCCTCATTAACCTCAGGCTGGTTGCTGACTCTTGCTCTCCCTTTGAGTTTCCTGATTGGGGTGTTTCAAGGCCACTGGGTAGTCCCTCATATTCTCAACACACCGGAGCCTTCAGCCCAGGGTTTGCCTTCAACCTGGATCCTTCACACACTTCCATCCCTGCTTCCCCTAGTCCCATGTAATGCCTGTTCCCCTCTCTACAGGATGCCACTGGCTGCTGTGGGCTACCTCGATGGCACACTGGCTATTTATGACCTCTCCACACAGAGCCTGAGGCATAAGTGCCAACATGAGGTAAGGCCCTACCCCCTCTCCCTAGACCTGGGAGGTGGGCTTTGGGCCTGCTGGAGATCTTTCTCAGAGCCCAGGGGCCAGTTCCTGATTTGTGCTTCTCCCTCAGTCCTGGGCTTCCCCAAAAGCAGCCACAATCCCTGCACAGAGAATGTGGTTGGCCCTGGGGGCTGGCTCTCCTGTCTGTGTGGGTGGCAGACAACAGGGGAGGGGGGACGGGATACAGGGGGGGAGACTTGGTGGAGGTCCCCACTGTGTCCCCCCTGTCCCAGTCCGGGATCGTGCAGCTGCTGTGGGAGGAGAGCTCGGCCGTGGTTTACACCTGCAGCCTGGATGGGGCCGTGCGGCTCTGGGATGCCCGCTCGGGGAAGATGATCAGCGAGTACCGAGGGCACTCCGCCGAAATCCTCGACTTTGCTGTCAACAAGTGAGCAGGGGATCCCTAGACCCCTTCCCTGCAGGGTGGAGGGACCAGGGGTGGCAGGGGCCTCCAGCCTCAGGAACTCATTTCACAAACTGTCTCTCCTTTGGTTGTCCTTGGGGTCTGGTCCCAAGGTGGGGACAGACACAGGTCCATGCTGAGCCTTGAGGGTCTCAGGAGGGAGTGTGGCAGTTCAGAGCTGGGCCAGGGGTGTTGGTTAGGGATACCAGAGGCCCCCAGCCCCGTATCTGAGCCCTGTCTCCCCGCAGGGATGCCTCCATTGTGGTGACCACCTCTGGCGACCACCAAGCCAAAGTGTTCTGCGTCCAGCGCCCCGATCGCTAGAACTGTGCCAAGGGATGGAGTCCCGGCACTGCGCGGCGGCTCGTGTACAGAGGGATGAGGGAGATGGTGTCACCACCCTTCTCCAGTGTGTGCTTTGTAATTTTCCAGCCTGCCCTGCTTTGCCCTCCCTATCTAGGGGCCAAGCCTGGGGTTTTGTATGAAGATGACTTTAATAATATAAATTATTTCACTTAACTGGATGCCATCTACTCTGCTTGTTGGGGGGAAGAGGACCTGGGGAGCTGTGCTCCCTCCTCAGGGATCTCCCTGGCATCCAGTCATAGCCTGAGGATCAAAGACAGAGACCCCCGTCCTAGCTCTCGCTGATAGGGGGAAGGAGGGGGCCACGGTAGGAGGGAAGGGTGCAGATTGCTATTTGAGGGTAGGAGAATCGTGCTCTCTGCAGTCCAGGAGTTCCCTAATAGAACAGGCTATTCCCAGACCTGGGCACAGCACCCCCAAGTTCACCAGAAGTCATTTGTTC